GGGACATCATGTTAGGGGGAATATTCTCTTTCCACACCAGCTGGAAAGATCGACAGGATACCTACATTCAAAAACCACTGCCACTGCAATGCACCAGGTAAATTATACCCAGTAAATCTATTTTGATTTAGGAATATCTAAGAGGATGTCATGCCGAGTATTTAAAATTAGAAATATCCCCTGTTGTGTGTATTAATACCATCAAATACTTTTATCTATGATGTTATTGTTTCTATTTCAAAAATATTTCAAATTACAAAGATTTATAACTGTCTGCATCAAGTCTGAATTTCAGAGACTTCCAATTTGCCCAGGCTATGCTCTTTGCCATTGAGGAGATCAATAACAGCACAGACCTACTGCCTGGAATCTCTCTGGGATACAAGATTTATGATACATGTGGCTCCATTGCCAGAAGTGTAAGGGTTGCACTGGCCTTGGCTAATGGTAATGACGCAGCATCGGCCCTTTCCGAGGCACCATGTACCAGACTTTCCCGAGTGCAGGCCATTATGGGAGAAACCTCTTCTTCTCCTTGCATGGCTATAGCCACTGTCATCGGACGCTTTCACATCCCAATGGTGGGTAAGATTGGTAAATTGTTAATACTTGTGAAAACAATATTACAATTCTTCAAATCTTCCAGCTGGTCTAGCATTATATTTCATATCTTTATCTTGGGAAATACTTCTTTTTTTTCTTTTAGATCAGCCACTTTGCTACTTGTGCTTGTCTCAGTGATAAAACCAAGTACCCATCCTTCCTCAGAACAGTACCCAGTGACTACTACCAGAGCAGAGCCCTGGCCCAGCTGGTCAAGCATTTTGGTTGGACTTGGGTTGGAGCTATTAGAACAAATGATGATTATGGCAATAATGGCATGGCCACATTCACAGAAACCGCCCAGCAGCTGGGCATCTGTCTGGAGTACTCTGTATCTTTCTTTAGAACAGATCCACCAGATAAAATACAAAAGATAATTGACACTATCAAGACTTCCACTTCCAAGGTTATTGTCGCTTTCCTCTCCCACATGGATATGGATGTGATATTGCATAAGTTTTCTCACCACAACTTGACTGGATACCAGTGGGTAGGCACTGAGGGCTGGATATTTGATTCCCAAACTGCAGCAATGGATAGGCATCACATTCTGGATGGTGCCATAGGCCTGTCCATCCCCAAAGCACATGTCAGTGGCGTTAGAGAGTTCATGTTGGATGTAAAGCCGCTCAATTCATCTAGTAATGAAATGTTTACAGAGTTTTGGGAGGCATTATTTAGCTGTAAGTTCAGGCAGTCAAAGTCATCATCAGGGAATCAGAGAGAATGTACTGGACATGAAGATCTGACTGGAGTGCAAAACAGCTTCACTGATATGTCGTCCATGCCAATCTTTAACAATGTCTATAAAGGAGTGTATGCTGTGGCTCACACACTTCATAGTATTCTCAACTGTAACAAAACCTGCAACAACACAGTGCAGCTTGATCCATATAAGGTGAGTTGAACTACCAACGACTTGAATTATCATTTTTAAGTCACTTTAACAAGGAAAATGTTTTGTTATCATTTTAAAAGATACACATTTGCACTTGTTCTATCATGGTGTTGAGCCAATAAGCCTATAGCATGTTTGTCAGATAATGATCTACAGTTATGCATATCTTCTTAGATTTTACAGCTTATGAAAAAGATTCAGTTCAAAACAAAGGAAGGGGAGGAGGTTTACTTTAATGAGAATGGAGACCCATCAGCAAAGTATGAAATTATACACTGGCAGCCAACAGAAAAGGGCACTGTGGACTTTGTCACAGTTGGT